ACCCACGCGCGCAGCGGGCACCCGGCCAGAGGCGGGGGCGCGTCCTGGGAGGCAGAGCGCCCTAGGGTTCCCCGCCCCCGCCCCTCCGCTGCGGCCACCTGCTTGGCTCTCGGCTCGCGGTGCGCCAGGCCTCGCCGAGCGCCAGGCAAAGCGAAACCCAGCCCAGGAAGCAGATCCGGTGCGGTGACACCCGCGCGCCAGCCCCGTTCCCATCCCTGAGAAGGAGAGGCGACCGCGCGGCAAGGGGTCCCCGGGCCCTCGATCCAGCTGGGCGGCGCAATTGCCTCTGTCCTCTCCTTCCCGGCCCACCTGAGCTGCTCCGGAAGCTGGAGTCTACGCGGTCCCGCTGCGGAGCGGCGGGGCGGGGAGCTGCGGTCTGCCGGTCCTCTCCCGCCAATGGTTGGACCTCGCGGCAGCCGCGAGCTCGCGCGCTGGTGCGTTCCTGAAAGAGCGGTCCCCAAGCCTTTGCTCCCGGTGCCGGCTTCCCCCGAGGACGCGCGTGGGGCGCTTCAGAGCCGCGTGCACGTGGTTGTCCCCAGTGACAAGATGAGCTCACAGTGCCCCCGGAGACTCCGCATCTCAAGCCTGAAAACACGGAGGGGCTAGCCTTTAGGAATCAGCAGACCCTCTCTCCCACATCTGGGGAAGGCCTGGGTTCAGGATTTGTAGCAGAATCCTCAGGCATCCAGCGCTCAGGGTCGCCTGCTGCTGCCTCGTGCAATAGCCATTCGCGCGTGTGGCTATATACTTTTAAATAAATTAGTTAAAACAGAATGCAGTTTAAAATCCAGTCCTGCAGTCACACTAGCCACTTTTGAGAGTTCAAGAGCCATCTGTCCACAGATGTAGAACATGTGCGTCTTTGCAGACAATTCTATTAGACACCGTTGACGTAGGGTTCACAGCTCCCACGAGAGCTCTTGGGGAACCCCACGGAGCCTGTCGTGGATTACTGGGACCAGACCAGGATCTCAGGGTCCATCTAGACCAGAAGTTAATTGTATGCCTTCTCCACGCAGTGGTCAGGAGATTCCTTTCAAAGCAAATACTCCATTGTGTGCGGAATAAAATCCAAACCTTCAGGACCCAGAAGGTCTGCCAGTGCCTGGCTTCCGCCGACTTCTTCATGCTTATGCTACTCTATTCTCCTCTCTCCCTGAGCTCTGGCCATATTTGCTCCTCCCTGTTTCCCCGCCCTCACTCAGTGCCTTCCCAGTGCAGGGCCTTTGCACTTGATACTGCTTTTCTTCACAATGTTCGTACCCTGGCCTTCCAAACAACTGTTTCATTTCCATCTTTCAGGTCTCCTAGTTGTCAACTCAAAGGCCTTTCCTCTCTTCCACCCAATGTTCACCTGCTCTAGGGACTGTATAGTGAAGGGTTTCTTCCTTCATATGACTTAACACACTCAGTAGTTAGCTTGTTTTTCTGATTGTTTATTGTCATTTCCCTCTAGAATATAAGCTTCCTGAGGAGAGGCTCTGCCTGTGAAACTCTGGATCCGTATCGCCTAGCTCAATGTCAGCATGGAGTTGCACAATAAATAGTTGTTAGGTGAACCCTCAGATTGACTGCCAGGCAGATGGCATGGTCCTCTACTGATACCCCTCTAAAGCTCCCATCACAAGCACATTCGCCCTGTTTTAAGTATCAGGCAGACATCATTGTACAAAATGTGCTTGGAGCTACTCCTACCAGGGTTCAGGATTGCCTCATCTCAGGAATGACCATCTTCTCCTTCAGTCTCTCCTGTCTCATGCCTAATCTCTGATTTGCAGCTTGAATAATCTCCACAAGACCGTCCTTTCCAAAACAGAATCAAAATTACCTGGTGGGGGGATAGGTATGGGATAAAAATACAGATTTCCAGGGCACATCCATGGACAGCCTCACTCAGTAGGATTTAAATGCCTGAAGTCAGGTTTACTCTAGGACTCTATATTTGCATAAGCCTATAAATGCTGTTATTTTTTTCTTAAATGAGTTTGAGGCTGATTTTTGACTGTGTGCAACCAATAGTATTAACTGATTCCTTTCCACACTGTTTCTGTATTTGTATGTCTACAAACATCTTGAGGGTAGAGACTGTGTTGTGTTTTCATCTTGGTACCTAGCACATAACAAATAATCAGAAACTCCTTGTTGAATGACTCTGCTCTTGTTCAATACAATGACCTTTCCCTCATCTGGAGGACATTTAATAGGTAACCTCAGTCACTTGAAACTCTGCTAGAAATCAGAATGTAAACAGTAAAGCTTTCCAAGGAAGCAAATATCATTTTTATAGCACTAACCAAAGCTTTTTCTTTCTTTCTTTCTTTTTTTGAGTCTCACTCTGTCGCCCAGACTGGAGTGCAGTGGCACACTCACGGCCACCCCAGCATTGACCTGCTGGACCCCGGCAATCCTTCTGTCTCAACCTTCCAAGTAGCTGGAACCACATGCTACCACGCCCAGCTAATTTTTGGTTTATTGTAGAGACGAGGTCTTACCAAGCTGTCCGGACTGGTCTTGAACCTGTGGGCTCAGGTAATTCACTCACCTTGGCCTCCCAAAGTGCTGGGATTACAGGCCTGGCCAACCAAAGCTTCTACAGTTTACATACAAGAGTCTCTCAATGGCCTCACCTGTGGCCTATATTCTCTTAACCCAGACATAATTCTAACAATATTGTTTTTCTTTTGTGTGTTTGTACTTTGGTCACAGGAAATGGACCGCTAAAGGCAGGTCCACCAGGTGAGCAGCAGAAGGCAGTAGCAAGAGGGGGTGGCTTCTCAGCACCACAGAGTTGTTCCAAGACTCAGGTTCGTTCTCTCTCGCTGCTGGGCTCAGTGGATATTGCTGACCTCTGCACAGAAGCACTGACACCACATCAGCATCTCAGTCTGTGGAAAGGAGAAGGGGGGGGAGGTGGGGGCAACCCAGTCTCTTTTAGGAAAGTGACAAGAAGTTGTACACATTGCTTCTACTCCTCTTGGTGAAAACGAAGTTACACAGTCACATCAAGCTACAAGGAAGGCTGGAAATATTGTTTCTAGTAGGAAAAGCATGTATGTTCTCTTCTAAAGCCCTGTGGGAGAGTCTGTTACTAAAAGGAAGAAGGGAAGAATGGTTCCCAAGGACTAGTAACTAGAAGCTTAGCTATAAACCTCATTTTATATTAAAGTGCTTGGGATGTAGTGGGTGCTCAGAAACCGTTAGCTATTATTATTGGCATGTGTGGTTTCCATCTCTGATTTCATGGCAACTGCCTTACTTTTAGAGCTGAATATAGGATTTCAGAGACCAGGCTCAGAACCATGAAAACATTCCGGAACTTCTTCCAACTCCATACAACTCTGACTTCCTTAGCCAGCCTGCCCTATGATCTGGTCCAGGCCTAGATAAAACTCACAGGCCTCCATAATTTGTCTTGGCCCCCTTCACATCCCATTTACTGACTTCTGCCACCGTTGTAAGTTTCTTCTTGGCATGGCAGGGAGGGAATACCACTCCATCCCCTCCAGTCAAGGTTTCCATATTCCAAGCTATACTTAGCATCTTTGCATTTCCATGGTGACTACAGAGATTAAGTATTGACCTCTGCCCTACTAGACTGTGAGTTCCTTAAGGACTGGAACCACTCTCAACAATTCCTTGGGTCTCTGGTACGTGGGGCAGTGCCTGGTGCTGAGAATGCATACTGTTGGTTGCATAACCTTCCAAGGAACAGAATTAATCGAAACCAAATTTGGTACATTGTTAAAAGGACATCAAAGTAGCATCAAGTTAGATTTTTAGTTCAGTCAGCTATCTTGAAACATGACCACTTGTCTTCTGAAAGCAGATTTTAATGACCTTCCATATGAATTTTTAAAAGGTGAATTAAAATTTTATTATTTTTCAGTTAATCTCATTGCTTCACAAATTTATTCATACTATTCTACACATAATTTAATGCTCATGATTGCCCCCAAAGAACTCTTTAATTCATATTGCTGCTAGTAATATTTGTAAATATTTCAACTCTATTATTTTAAATGTGACTTTTTTCTTTTGGTAGAGATGAAGTTTCACTATGTTGCTCAGACTGGTCTTGAACTCCTGGCCTCATTGATCCTCCCACCTTGGCCTTCTAAAGTGCTGGGATTACAGGCATGAGCCACTGTCCCCAGCCTGTTATTTTGTTTCACAAAAGGAGAATGATGAGAAACGTTTATTTTTTAAATTTATTTTTATTTATTTTAAAGATGTGGGGTACAATTCAGGACTAGGTAGATAAGTGGTCATGGAACAGGTAATGTTTGGACCTCCCTTTGGTCCCCACTTCACCTAGTTTGAGATCAGGTACCTTATTGATGTTGTGTGCTCCCTCCTCCCTCCCCTTGCAGTTTCTTGCTACTGCCAATCCCTTTCTTATAGTGTTATGATAAATGTTTGGGATCCACTTATGAGTGACAACATGTGGTACTCAGTTGTTTCTGTGATAACTTGGGTGGATTTCGATGCGGAGCATTTATTTCTTCCTTTTCTGCACACTCACCACCCTGCTTACGTGCCCTGCATTTGCTCAGCAGCTTTCTCTGTTTCCCGCATCTGACAGCCAAAGCCTTGTCCTTTCTCCACAACTCTGCTCAAACACCACCTCCTCCAGCAAGATTCCCCAATCATCAGCTTGTCCTTTATTATCTCCCTCATGCATCCCAAATTCTGCTATTTGTATCTCTCCTGTTGTATTTTTACAATTTGTCTCTCCATGAGGCGTTTTGTGTATGTATGTGCATGTCTTCTCTGAGCCTCAGAGGGGCTCACAGAGGTAAACAGCTTTGG